ATGGCTAGGGGGTCCAGGTTGGAGGGCTTAGACAGAAGCAGAAGCTGGTGGAGACAAATGGATGAGACAGCCAGCCACCTGCTTTTTTCAGATTTCCTCCAATAAACAGATATTGCCTGCTAGTCAGAGCAAAAGGAACCTGTTGAGAAAAGGAAGTGCTGACTGTCTCAGAGGCAGTGTGAGTGCCTGTCACCAGCCCTATAAGCTACAAGGACCTCACAGGAAAGAGACTACAGCTTGAAAACTGTGATTTGCACTTTTCCCAGGCTTTGGACTTCAGGCCTTCTACATACACCTTTCACATAGCTGGCATTACAGGTTTGCACCACTAGCCCAACCAGTGTTACCTTTGGCATCTGTGGTAGAAGATGAGATTTGGGTTCCCCTTATGTTGGGAGGGAGAGACTCAAACACCCTTTGTTCTGTAGCCACGAGACCTCCTGGGTTGGTGGAATTTGACCCCTTCCTCACTACTTCTAGTGTGACTACTAGACTACTAGACTTCTAGACTACTTCTAGTCTAGAAGGTGGGGGGGTCCCTGGGCTGTCTGTGAAAAGCTCCCCCCTTTCTGTAGAATCTGTCACCTGAGAGCTTTCCTAGGGTGCAGCCACATCTGCAGGACTGAGGAACCCAGAAGATTTCTGGGCTCAATGTGCACTCTGAGCCTCTGTGATCCAACAGAGTCCTGTACTCCTGGGGCCCCTCCCCATGCACAAGCAGCCCCTTCCCTGCCCCCAGCTCAAGCCCAGAAGCCCAGAGCCCCGGCCTAAGTCCTTCAGTCTCCTGCTCTGCTGCCCACGTCCCAGCCGTGCAGACCACAAGCCCGCCTTTGTCAACTCACCCACCACATGGGGCCGTGCCAGGAGGGGCTGGCCGGCATTCTGCCTGCACCTGGGATGAGCCCCCAGAGGCCTGAGAGGCCTGGACCCCTGCCCCCCACAGACAGACAGAGCTGGCATGAACACAACAGCCTGTGCCATCAGAAATGGATTGTAATGAAGGCAGGCCCCAGGGAGACAGCTGCTCATGTCAGAGATCCTTCATCCATTCACTTCTCCAGTAGGCCCAGGGTTGGGGACGTGTGCTGCAAGATGGGACTCTTGCCCTTTTAGGGATACTAGAGGGGAAGGAAATGCCCAGCATCAGAATCACTTGGGGAGCCACCCCGAGAGTTTCTGATTCGGTAGGTCTGGCTTGGGATGTGAGAATTTCTAACAAGCTCCCCGATGACGCCAATTCTGCAGTGAGGACCACACTCGGGTTTTTATTTGTTTGTTGAATGCTAGGCAAGTGCTTTACCACTGAGCTGCATCCCCAACCCCAGAAACCATACTGTTAGAGCTGCTGTAATTCAGGTGAAGGAATTATGCATGATTTATGTTTTCTGTATTTTCAAAACTGGCCAGACGTGGTGACACACAGGTGTAATCTCAGCCCTCCAAAGTCTGAGGCAGGAGGATCGAAAGTTCAAGGGCAGACTGGACTACATATTAAGACTGTGTCAGGGGGATGGGGGAAAAAGGGAGGGGGCGGGGGGAAAGGGGGAGTAATGACCCAATCACTGTATGCACATATGAATAAAGGAAATTAAAAAAAAAGAGACTGTGTCAAACAAAACAAAACAAAACAAAAACTTTTTTGTTTTACTTTCATACATAGAAAAAAAATCCCATGTCTTACTTTCATACATAGAAAAAAAATCAGTTATTTTAAAAGCTAAATGTGTGGCCCCCAAAAATGACACCCAGTGCTCTGGATGTGGTCCTATGTGGAAGGAGGTCACCTTCCATGATCTAAATATCATACATCTGTTAATGTAGCCCGGCGTCATGAACTTGTGTGTCCCTGCATTTCCCCTTGGCTCATGTTGAGCTTGAGGTTCTCTCAGACCCTCATATCCTTCCCATCACCAGGTCCTGCCAGTACAACTGCAAGGGGAGTAAGTGAGGTGCACGGTTGGATTTGAATGCAGGCCCATGTGGCCTAGGCTAGCTTGGATTGAGCCGCCTGCCTGCAGTTCCTGAATGCTCTTACTTCAGGCTGGCGCAGGGACTCCTCACTTCCTCATTCCTCCCCAACCAGTGTGACCATTGACTGCCCCACTTCTTCCTTTCCCACTTCTGGTCTGTCTGCTTGGCATGGTGTGGTGGTGGCTCTTGTGTATTTTGGGATGTGGTGGGGGGAGCGCCTTTAGGAGGTGACTGTCCCCCTGCAGCTGCCAGCATGATCATCCAATTTGGGGTACTGCTGAATGCATCCCCAGGAGAGGCTGCTGTGGCAAGTGGGGTTAAGCCCCTCTGTTGGGGTGGAGTGAGACAGTACTTGGTGGGGTTGGGAGAAGCCATCCGTCACCTCTGTCTTCCTCTCCTGGTCTCAGAACCTTCTGAGAGGTGGTCCCAGGAGCCAGTGCATGAGTGTGAAGACCCCAGTCAGCTTCTAGGCCGCTGAGAACCCACCTGGAGGGCACCGGCTTCCAGACAGGCCTGTGAATCAGACTCAAAGCCGTACCCCTTGCCACAGGGAACCACAGCTCTTCCATTTGGAGCCACAGTCTGCTCTGGCCTTGCAGGCAAGCAGGTGTGAAGTGAGGGCCCCCCTGTGGGTTCCTTCCCAGGGGTGGGAAAAGGTAGAGGAGAAGGCAGGAGTACACCCCTGAGGGAAGTAGAAGGCATATTCCTCCTCACTGGTGTAGCATGAGGAGCAGAGATCCAAGACCTCACCTTCCAGGCCCTCCATCCCCCATTTTCTTGGGAAAAATTGGGGTTCTGAAGGTTGGGTACTCCAGATCTTGTCTCGCCTCCAGAGCCGCCTTTCTGCTCCTGAAACCCGCCTCCTTGCTTTCATCAGCCCCAGCCATGGTGTCTGCCTCCTCAGGGACGCCTTTGGCAAGTCCTCATCCCTTGTGACTCAGTTTCTCAATTTTATATGAACTGAGAAGGTGTTATTCCTACTGTGACTCAGTTTCCACATTTGTTATGAGACATAGTAGTTAGGCCTTTCTTCTGTGGGGTCCCCACTCTCCCCTACACATAGTGTCTAATGACCACTTCATGTCCGTGCGTCCCTCTCCTTGTTCCTTACCTAAGTGGACCTGCGTGTGTTTGTTCATTCAGTTAATATCTGGGCATCTGCAGGAGGATTGGGGGCAGGGCAGGCAGGTGGCCCTTCAGACTCTCACAGTCTCTGCAAATAATTAAAGAGGTGCTAATGACTACAAAGAAGTGAGAGGCCACTGGGAGCTGGTGGCAGAGGTAGCAGGAGCTGCCCTGAGGAAGTGAGGTCACTTCTGACCCCCTCCACTTAAATCCCAAACCCATACCTTCAAGGTCCCATATGGCTGGCTGACCACTGTTTCCCTAGCCTCAGATGACCCTATAGCTGCTCTGACTTCCTTGCTGTATTTTGATCCACTGAGTTCTTTCCTGCCTCTAAGCCTTTGCACACACTGTTCCCTCTGCCTGCAACAGTCTCTTCTTGGCTCTTTCTTCAGCCATGTAGAAAGAGTCTCAGCTTGCCTCAGCTTAAATGTCCCTTAACACAGAACCTTCCCCTGTCACTCTCTCTCTCTTTTTTTTTTTTTTTTTGGTGGGTCTGGCTTGGAACTCAGGGCTTTGTGCTTACAAAGCAGGTACTGTACCACTTGAGCCATGCCTCCAGTTCACTCCCATCATTCTTATCACATTACCCACATTGCTGTGTTTTTTATTTTGTTTTTGCCTTCATAGCACTTAACAGGATCTGAATTTTTAAAACTTCTTTTTGTTTACTTTGTGTTTGCCCAATGAGGCTTGGGGTGGAAGATAGAGAAGGGGCTAGTCACCACTGTCCCTCCCTGGCCATGTGCTGTGCATGGGATCTAGTACATAGTCAGCACTCATAAATGTTTGTTGAATGCTTCCTCAGTGTATTAGTTTCCAATTGCTGCTGTAACAAGTCACCACAAATTTAGTGGCTGTGTCAGCTTTCCATCCCTGTGACAAAGTGCCTGAGGTAATCAACTTAAAAGGAGGAAAGACTTATTTTGGCTCACAGTTTCAGAGGTTTCACTTGACTCCACAGCTTTGTGCCTGTGACGAGACAGAACATAATGGTGGGGAGCACGTGGTAGAGGAGGATGCTTACCTAGTATAGCCAGTAAGTGACAAGAGAGGGGGACACCAGGGTTCCAATATCTTCTTCAAGGACCTAGGGTCCTCCAACAACCTAAGGGCCTCACCTCCTAAAAATTCCACCACCTTCCACTAGTACCACAAACTGGCAACTAAGCTTGGGGACATTTAAGATCCAACACATAACAATGGCTTAGTTCCAGATTATCTCCCAATTATTTATTTATTTTGGCAGGGCTGGGACTTGATCTCAGAGCTTTGCACTTGGAAAGCAAGTCCTCTACTGCTTGAGGCACACCTCCAGTCCATTTTGCTGTGGTTGTTTTGGAGATGGGGTCTCTCAAACTATTTGTCCCAGCCAGTCTTGAATTACAGTCCTCCTGATCTCAGCCTCCCAAGTAGCTAGGATTACAGGTATGAGCCACCGGTGCCCTGCTGTTATCTTCCAATTTTGAAGTTCAGAAATCTGCAAAGCAAGATGCTAGTAGGACTGTATTCCTCCTGAAGGTTCTGGGGGAGAATCCTTTCCCTGGATTTCTCCAGTTTCTGGAAGCTACCCACATTCCGTGGTTCATGGTCCCTTCTCCAACCTACAGAGCACATCACTCACCCTGTGTATCCCTCTTATGCTGCTTGCTCCCAGTTGCCTCCCTCTTATGAGGACTCTGAAGATGACATTGGGCTCACCCAGATAATCTCCTTCCCTCCAGATCCTTATCACATCCCCAAAGTCCCCCCCCTGCCATGTAAGGCATGTATTTTCAGATCCTGGGAGTTCAGATGTGAGCATCTCTGGGGGTCTGCTACATAGCCTACCACTCCCAGACCCCAGTGCTGGTTCAGCATTGGCTGTGGCCAGGGACCTAAGCACTCCTTCCCTCCTTTTGCAGGATGAGATCGAGGAGCTACGGGCAGAGATGCTGGAGATGCGGGATGTGTACATGGAGGAGGATGTATACCAGCTGCAGGAGTTACGGCAGCAGCTGGACCAGGCCAGCAAGACTTGCCGCATCCTGCAGTACCGACTGCGCAAAGCCGAGCGCCGCAGCCTCCGTGCTGCCCAGACTGGCCAGGTGGACGGCGAGCTCATCCGAGGTCTGGAGCAGGATGTCAAGGTCAGCCTGGGCCCCTCTGTCAAGCCTCACAGGTGCACTGGCTACGGGATGTAGGTGAGCCTTAGTTGGGGGTCCAGATCAGCTCTGTGGCTTCATCCTACATGTCCTCAGGCAAGTTACACTGCCATACATGGACCTCAGTTTTCCAGTACGCAAAGCAGGGGTCCCTGGTGAACTAACAGGCCTTCTGTCAGGGACACCCAAAGGCGATATCATACTATGAAACCTCCAAACAGCAGCTTCTGCTTGTTTAGTTTCAGCCCCATACCTGGTGTCAGGTTCCAGTTGTCCCTGTGTATGTCCATGGAGATTTCTCATTATGCTGATGACAGCAGGGAAGGCCTGGAGTTGAACAGAGCTGGCTCTGATCTTGGCTTCAATATGCCCAGATTTTGTGATTTTTGAGCACGAACCTATAACTTATATTTCAGTGTAAAGTGGGTGTAAGCACAGCCCCTACCTCTCAGGGTTCTGTGAGAATTGAGTGAGATAATACAGATAGAAGGCCACCATGAACACTCAGCCCAGTGTGATCAGGGGTTATAGGAGCTGGGGCTGGAGGCACCCGATATAGTGTGGGGGTCCTAAGGAGTCTTTCTGCTGAGATGCCTTATGAGTTGAGGTCTGAGGAAGCGATGGTCCAGAGCCAGGAAGGGGGAGGCCTAAGGGCTCAGGGGAGCAGGCAGGATAAGGAACCCCTTTCCCACTCACCCTCCACCAGAAGGTGCTGGCAAATTCAAGCCCTACAAGTGTAGTGTAAAAGACCCTGAGATTTGCTGTCAGGGGTCTGCAGGGCCAGGGTAGTCAATAGTGAGTGCCAGCTCCACGTAGGCCTTTGCATCTGCTGTTATCTTGACTGTCCCCAGTGGGATCACGGGGAGGGCACTGGGTACAGAATGGGCCACCTCTGCCTGAGGGGGCAGATCAAGTGATAAATGGCTGCACAAATGTTCAGTCCTGGAATGGGAGTGGGAAAGGGAGAGGGTAGGAGAGAGGTGGAGAAACTCAGACGAACCTGCAAATTTGTGTTTGGGTCCAGGTTGTTGAGGATTTCTGGGAGAGACACAAGAAAATCTGACTGAAGACAGACAAGGAAGGGGACCTTCAGGGGCAGAGACAGCAGCTGGGCTGCCTGCACAGCCTGCAGGGTGGGAGGGCCCAGAACATTGGAGAGGAGGGGAGTTTGGGAGGGACTTTCAGGAGTCGGGATGGAGGGAGGGCCCCTTCTGTTGGGATTTGAACTAGCCAATCAGCATCAACCCCTTCTTTCCTCCCTCCCCTGCCCACCCCTGCAGCTGCAGCGCTGAGCTCATCTGCTGGCCCAGCCTGCACTGCTGGCCACCTCTGGCCACCACCCTTCATCCCAATGTGTTGGTGCCTTTTCGGAGGTCTGCAGAATACTGTGTGCCCTAGCATCATGAGGTTTACTCAATGGGCTCAGGCGGGGAGGGAGCTGCCTGGGAGAATAGCTCTGGGGACCGTCTTCCTCTGCCAGCTCCTTGGCCCATGCATGCCCTGATTGGCCCCTCTGCTTGGGGACTCAGTTTCCCCTTATGTTAATGAGGGACGTAAATTGACTGAATCGTCAGGGCTTTTGTGCAACAGTGGTTTTATTGAGCAGCTCAGTTATTGGTTAGGGTGTTGTGAATGAAACTTCAGCAGGGACACTGCATAGGATGAGAAACCCAGGGGCCAGTGGGCAGAGACATGTCCTGCCACTTGCTTGCTGTGTGGTCTTGGGTAAGCTTCTTCACATCTCTGAGCCTGTTTCTGCCTGTGGTAAATGGAGCTAATACTAGGTCTTCCCTGTAGAGATTATGAATAGAAAATAAAGTAGTTCAAGTGAAGACAGTGCTGAGCCTTGGGTGTGGCTACAAGTGAGTGCTCACCTAGGAACTGAGCACATGGCGGGAGGGTGTCATGTCCTAGCACTCTGGGGTCTACATTCTCATCTGAAATGACCCCTATATAGGAGGCCCTGGGACCATCAGAAACACATTCCTCTCCTCAGATGCAAATGTTCCTGGAGAAAATGTTCTGGCCTTGGCTTTAGTTCCTGGGTGACCTGTGCAGTCTTGCTTCTCTCTCTTCCTTGAGTTTCAGTTTCTCATCCATAAAACAGGAGTGACATTCCCATCTTCCTGGGTGTTTTGTTTTATTTTTGGTGGCACTGGGGTTTGAACTCAGGGCCTTGTTGCTGGCTAGGCAGGTGCTCTACCACTTCAGCCAAACCACTAGCCCTTTTTGCTTTGGTTATTTTGGTGGTAGGGCCTCGCTTTTTGCTTGGGCAGGCCTGGACCTTGGTCCTCTATTTACACTTCCCCACAGTAGCTGGGATGACAGGCATGAGTCACTGTGCCCAGCTTTTATTGCTTAAGATGGGGGTCTCTCAAACTTTTTGCTTTTGCCTCTGCTGGCTTTGAACCTAGATTTTACTGATCTCAGCCTCCCAGTAGTTAGGATTACAGGCTGGTCCTAGGGCTCTTGGGAGGATTCATCTGCACACTGTCCAGAATGCCACCTGGCCAAGGGGTGCTTCTTAGCAAGAGTTCCCATCTCTGTCCCTGAGGATCAGTGTGACAGGGCCCTGGAGCCCAGAGGTGAGTGTGCCAGGGAGCTGGAGCTGGAGGCTGTTGATAGGGGTTGGCAGGAGCCAGCCGACACTGTAAACAGTGATCTCATGGCTGAGCGCATTTGTTTGTGCTTTGGGGATTTGCCCTGGTTTCCGGCAGCCGCAGCTGCCTGGCCTCTCTTGGTGTCTCTGTCCCCTACTTTGGGGGTAGCTGAAAGGATCAAATGAGACAGGCACGCAGAGCCCTTCAAGTGCCTGGCATACTGAGTCCACTGTTGGGGATTATTATAAAGACATGTATTGTTGGTAGTAATATAATATGTCTTTAAGCTTCCCCCTACGGCAGCAAGGTCAGGCTGAAAGAAGGAGTTGACTCTCCTGCTTTCAAATCTTGGTTTGGTAGCTTTCTAGCAGTATGACCTTAGGCAAGTGAACTTTCCCTCCTGAGCCTCGCAATGGGGATAATAATCAAAGTGCTCCTCCAGGGGCTGGAAAGCATGGGTCAGTGCTTAAGAAACTGCTAGGCTCAGGGGCCCCAGGACCTCCAGGATTGGGGAGAGAAAGAGCCAAGCCAGGCCACCCGCTCCAGCCACCCTGTTAGCACAGGTGCTTTGCTCCCATTGACCTCCATCAGGGCCACCAGGTGCTGTAGAGATCTGAGCTTTGGGCTCCTTGTATACATTGGAGATCTACAAGCTAGCTGGGGTGGGCTTTCTTGACATAGCAGTCCCAGGGGTGGGGAGCACTTGGGGAAAGAGTCCACGAGAAAGGAGGAGAAGGGACTAGGACTCAGGAATCACATGGGTCATCACTTCTTGGCAGGGACTGAGTGGCCTCTCCAGGTAGAGTCCATGGTGGAGATGGAGTATCCCCTCAAGTGGAAAAGAACTGGCCCAGATGGGAGCAGGCTTTGGAGTGGAGCCTTGGCCCCAGAAACCTTTCCTTGACATTGGTTGGTGGGCAGTGGAGAGGCATGTCCCTCACCCTGTCAGAGCCTACGTAGCTACCTATACATAGCTTTTCACTGATTCACCTCCTCCCTTTTCCCTTGTTGGAGTCTATTTGCTTGTTCATCCAACAAGCATTTATTATTCACTTAGTGCATCGCAGGCCCTATTGGAACACAGAGATGTGAATGAACCCAGGCGTGATCTGGGTCTGGTATCTCTGTACCCCCTCACTCTTGCCCCTAGTTCCAAAGCAAGATGAATGAATGAGTGGACTATTGATCAGAACAGGGGCTTCCTGGGTGACTTAATATCCCCAAACTGGGGATCATAGCCAGAAGCTTGGAGGCTGAACATGTCCAGCAAAAAACCTTAGGGTTGAGCCAACATGGATAAGATCACTGTACAGAGGCAAAGCAGTAATCTCGATAACCACATTAGAAATCCTTGTAGTAATGATACTTTGAATTAGTGGCCTTTGAGCAGCTCTGCAAAGCTCTTAAGTATTTCACAAAATCAAAACTAGGTCAGCCAAGCTCATGAAATGACCACACTTTTATAATTCACTAAATAGGGTTAATTGTTAAAAAGAATAGAAAATAAAAATCCTTGTGTTTTTTGAGCACCCTGTATGTTCCAGCCCCGACTCAAGCATTATGTCATTTATTCCTTGCAGCAACCCTTGTGAGTAGACTGTCAACCATTGCTGACCAAACTCTGTTAAACAACTTGTCCTGAGTCACATAGCCAGTAATGCTGGAACCAGGCTCACATCTGCCTTTCCCCTCTTCAAGCCCTTGCCTGATACAGAGAGACTGCTTACCCCACTTTGTGAATGAGGGAAGTTGGGCAGCCCAGCGTGGGCAAGGGTGGGCCAGTGTCTGGCTGTGCTTGAACTTCGGGCCAGAGGGGCAGTGGACAGTGGAAGCAGGGGAGAGAGTATTCAGTTTCCTCTCTGGCTGTTGTTTTTCCTGGCCTGCCCTGTACACTGCCAAGGGGTCTATGCTGAGTTGGGCTTGGGCTCAGGCAGAGGGCAGAGCCAGGGAGGGCCCTGTTCCCTTCCGGAGGATGTAGCACCATGGTCACTTCCCATGCTGGCAGGCAAGGGCACTGGGCTGTCTACCCCACACATAGGTCCTGCTGCCAAAGCCTTCAGACCCCCGGGGGAGCCCTGACTATACTGGCTCCTCCAAACTTCTGGGGCTCCCAGCCCAGCTCAGCCACAGCCATAGCCACAGAGGGTGACCCGGAATAGGTCACTTCCCTGGAGCTTTAGTTTCCTTGTCAGTAACATGAGGACAGAACTAGGATAGAGATGAATGAGTCTGGTGCCCAGTGGGTATTCAGCAGGCAGTGACCAGCCTGCCCAAGGATGGAGTCTAGTTGCAGTTTACCAGGTTAGAATGACTGTTCTCATCTCCCCAAATCCCCATCTCCTGGCTTCCCATCCTCAGCTAGCAAGAGATAGGACAGAGGGTGTCTTCCAGGAAATGGGGTGCTGTTGCTGCAGCATCCTGGAGCTGGTATTGGAGACTACAGCTCTGTCAGTTCCTTTTTGTAGGGATGACTTGGACGTCTGCCCAGCCTTTGTCATTTCAGGCAAGTTCTATATCCCAGACAATTGGAAATAGGCCTCAGGGTGACTGTGACCTCCAGCAAGTCATGCTCTCTGGCCATAAGCTCTTGGAAGCGGCAGCCACTGCTCACCACTCACTGTGATGGCACTGAGCAAGGGCTTGTGTATGAGAGCTGATTTGATCCTCTCTCGGCAGTGAGGTTGGTCCTGATATCACTGTGTCCATTTTATAGCTGAGGAGACTAAGGCACATAGCTGGAAAATGACTTGCCCAGGATCATGTCTCCTATCTTGCTCTGGGCTTTCACTCCAGACCGCACCCTCTACCAAGGTTCTTATGAGGACAGGACCAGAAGGTGCTAGATGAGTTTTGGGGGAGCATTAAAAGCCCCAGGTAAGGGTTGGGTGTAATGACTCATGCCTGTTATCCCACTCAGGAGGCAGAGATCAAGAGGATCATGGTTTGAGACCACCCTGGGCAAAAAGTTAGCAAGACTCCATCTTAATTAACAAGCTGGGTGTGATGGTGCTCACCTGTGATCCCAGCTATGGGGAGGCATAAGTAAGAGGATCCAGGTATGAGGCCAGCCCTGGGCAAAACCTCATGACTCTGTCAGAAAAATAACTAAGCAAAAATGGACTAGGGGCGTGGCTCAAGTAGCAGAGTGCCTGCCTAGCAAGTGTAAGACCCTGAGTTTAAACCCCAGCAGGAAAAAACCCAAGTAAATGAAAGATATTCCTTAAAACAGACAGGACGGGTACAGCTTTTGGGTTAGCTCACTGGGAGCCTGGGGTGTTTGGCTTTGGGCTTTGAGTCTCTGCCTCGTGGATGCAGAGATTCAGGTCCTTTGTGCCTCAGTTTCCTCATCTGCAAAATGAGGTAAGAATGGGCCTGTCTCCTGTTGCTCTGCAGCTGAGGTGGGACAGTCAGTGGGACTGGCAGTGTCTGCATTGCTCCCTTCCTGCAGCCTGCTCATGCCCTTCTCACCCCTCGCCCGGTCCAGGTCTCTAAGGACATCTCCATGAGGCTGCACAAGGAGCTTGAGGTGGTGGAGAAGAAGAGGGCACGGCTGGAGGAGGAGAATGAGGAGCTTCGGCAGCGGCTCATCGAGACGGAGCTGGCCAAGCAGGTGCTGCAGACCGAGCTGGAGCGGCCGAGAGAGGTGAGGGTCGCCCGCCCCCGCATGGTGGCCTAGCGCAGGTGGTGGGGCAGCCCCACCTATTGTGGGCCTTGCTGCTTGTAGGAAATGGGCACAGTTACACCTCCCTGGCAGGGATGTTTATTCACTCATCCCTCTAGCATGTATTTCCTGAGCAGCACCTACTGTACTGTGTTACACTGTGCCAGACATGCTAACTGAATGTGACCCCATCTTTGCTCCTGCACACCCTCTCCTCCTCCGCCTGTATGTTTAGCAACCAGTGTGTTAGGCACCACACTAGACAAGAATTTTCATAAAGGCCCAACAAGATAGAGACCCATTTTCTGGATGAGCAAACAGCCCCCAGGAGAAGGAGGGATGTCCTCAAGGTCATGCAGGGCCCACAGGGCTCTGCAGAATGAGGAAGAGAACCCATCAGCCTGGGTGACCTTTAAAGGCTGGAACTTTCTGGATTCCAGAGGTCTGCATTCCAGACAGCCAGGTGGCCTCAGGTGGTTGGCTGCCCACGAGGCATCTCAGGCTCACTGGTACATTCTTCTGAGGCGCCCGCCTACTTCTTAGGGGGCTGGCAAGCCAGCAGTCCGGGACCAAGATGCCACAATCCCCAGGACAGAACAGATCTTTAGTTACCCACCCTGCTGGGCATGCCAGCACCTTCTCCACGATATCTAGGGTGGAGAGAGGAGGATTTGCTGGTCAGCCCTGCCTTGCTTCAGGGCTGGGCAGGAGGCTCCCTCCCTTCCTGTGGCCTCCTGCCCTCCATGGCTATCATTTTCACTCTGTCTCATGCTGTTACCCAATGATGAAAAGGGGAGACACTTTCAGAAAGCATTTTAGAGCTCAGCTTGTTCCTGTTGTACAGGTGGGGAAACTGAGGCCCAAAGAGGAACAGCTTAGCTGGATGCCGGTGGCTCACACCTGTAATCCTAGCTTCTCAGGCAGAGATCAGGAGGATCGCAGTTCAAAGCCAGCCCAGGGAAATAGTTCCCAAGACCCTATCTTGAAAAACACCATCACAAAAAAAGACTGGTGGAGTGGCTCAAGGTGTAGGCCCTGAGTTCAAACCCCAGTACTGCAAGAAAACCAAAAAAGAAAACAAAGAGGAACAGCTTGCTAGTTCACCCAGCCTTTCCTTAGCAGAGACATGGCTGCAACCCTGAAGCCACTTCCCCTCTCCAAGTCTCAGTTTCTTCTCTGTGACATCAGGCTGAAAACAGCACCCAGCTTAAAAGACTGTTTCAGATCATTAATAAGATTGAGTAATCAGAGAGGTTGGGGGTAGAGCACGTGCTTGGCACCTGTGAGGCCCTGGGTTTGGATCCTTAGCACCAAAAAGAACCTCAAAAACAATAGGGCTGGAGGCATGGCTCAAGTGGTAAAGCACTTTTCTAGCAAGTATGAAGCCCTGGGTTCAAACCCCAGTACTGTAAAACAACAACAAAAAGCAAGCAATAATTGAGTAACCATAGAATACTACACAGAAGTTAAAAACAATAAGGTGATATAGTAGTTCTTCAAAAATGAAACACAGAATTACTATATGATCCACCAATTCTGGGTATAGACCCCAAAGAATTGAAAGCAGGGACCCTAAAGGAGGGACCCATGTTTGTAGTAGCATAATTCACAGTAACCAAAAGGTAGGCGCAACATACCATGGACGGATGAATGGACAAATGTACGTAGAGTGGAATATTCAACAGGAAGAAGGAGTGAATCACCGACACAGGCTGCAACACGGATGAGCCCTGAAAACCATATGCCAGGCTAGACACAAACCGCAAGACTCCGCTTGGATGACACACCTTGAGCAGCGAGATTCAGAGACAGAAAGCAGAACAGAGGTTACCAGCTATGTGGGGTGGGAGTGAGGAGTCACTGTTTAGTGGGTACAGAGATTCAGTTTGGGAAAATGAAGGGTTTAAGAGACAGACAGTGGTTATGGTTGCACACTGAATGTGCTAGTGCCCTTGAGCTGTGTACTTAAAAATGGTTAAGGCTGGATGTAGCTCAGTGTAGACTATGTGCTTACTGTACTCGAGGCTCTGGGTTCTTTCTCCAGCACCCAAAACAAAACAAAACCAAAGCTTAAAAATAGTGCATTTCTTGCCATGTCTATTTTGCAACAATAAAGGAGAAAAATGGTTAAAATGATAAATTTTATAATTTGTATCCTATACCACACATATATCAGTATATAACATATATATCTGTAGATATGTATATATATGTCAATATATATATTGTATATATACATTTACTCATATGCTCACATTTATGTGTATATGTACCCATTAATTGTGTAGTTAAGTTCTTTTTGTTTGTTTCTTTGGTTTGGTTTTGGTTTTGTGGATGGAATGCACGGCCTTGCTCATGATAAGCAAGCACTCTACATTGAGCTTCACCCCCAGCCCATGTTAAGGTTTTTGTTTTGCAAAGCAGGCACTTTGCAAATTAAGCCACACCTCCAGTCCATTTTGCTCTGCTTATTTTTGGAGATGGGGGTCTCATGAACTGTTTATCCAGGCTGACTTTGAACTATGATCCTTGGGTTCTCAGCCTCTCAAGTAGCTAGGATTATAGGTATATGTCACCACCCTGGCTATGTAAGTGTTTTTTAAATAATAAGAATGTAGGTTGGGCGAGGTGGCATACATCTGTAGTCCCAGCTTTTGACAAGGCTGAGGCAGGAGGATTGTTTGAGCCCAGGAGTTCAAGACCAGTCTGGGCAATATTGTGAGACCCTGTCTAAAAATGAATGAATGTACGTAGGTATTATTTGTGAAATTTCAAATTTAAATTTTTAAGTATGAAGAGCCCTATGTGGAACCATGCACAGAGTAGGAACTAAAGAAACACCGTTTCATTCCCCTCTGAGGCGTTTGTAGGAGAGGCTGGTGGAGCCCTCCTGATGTGCCCGTGGTGTCTCAGGAGCCTGTGTTTACTTGCAGTTTGTCTTCTGCCTCCTCGCTCTCCTTCCTGACATGGTTTCTATGGAGACGAGGGTCCCTCAGCAATTCTTCTGCCAGAGCTGCAGCCCCATCATTGGGATCCGCCTTTGCCATCCTGACAGGTTGCTGAGGCGATAGTCACCCGACTGGGAACCCGAGCCTCTGGCCTGAGCTGATGTGGTTGCCATGGAGATAGCTCTTGGCGACAGAAGAGAGGATGGCACGCCCTCACTGCGTTCCTTGTTGGCACTATGGCCCAGCTGGGATGCTGCTCAAGAATCTTAACGCCACCCCCACCTCTCACTCAGCCGTCGATGTTCGTCCTCCCCCCTTGCATTTCAGGCAGAAAGCCAGTAAGAACATTGCAGTGATTTCTTAGAACATAGCTGCTGAGTTTGAGTGTTCACGCTGTGCCCGCCCCCTCCCAGCATTGCGCATGCGTCGTCAAGGGTGTAACGTTCCAGGGCCTCTCGGTGCCCATCATCTGACTGACCCCATTTCGTGGGTGCTAGACTGCTCTTGGCAATTTTTAAATTGTGATTTAATTCACAGACCATGCAGTTCATCATTTTAAAGTACATGATTCCGTGATTTTTTTCCCCTTGTATCAAACTGTCACCACGATCTAATTCCAGAACACTCCATTGCCCTCAAAAGAAACCCCGTACCTTTTAGCAGTCGCTCCCCACCCTCTCTTTCCTCTGGCCTTTGGCAACTGCTAAGCCACTTTCTGCCTCTGGATTTTTCCCATTCTGGACATGGCATTCCAATGGAATCATGCAGCGTGTGATCGATCTTTGGTGACGGCTTCTTTTACTTCACGTAAGGCTTAGGCGATCGACATTGAAGATTAGCCACTCATACTGAAGCCTGAATCAGGACCTTCTTCCTTTTTATGGGTGGATAATAATCCATTTATGGATAGACCATATTGTGTTTGTTCATCCAGCAGTTGTTGGGCATTTGGGTTGTTCCCACTTTTCAGCTTAGTAGGACTAATGATGCTGTGAACATTCACATCCAAGTTTCTGTGGTTATGTGTTTTCACTTCTCCTGGGTACATAGCTAGGAACAGAACTGCTATCTGTGGATGGGCCTGAAAGATAGGATTTAAACCCTGGACTCTGGGTCTTCCAAACCCACACTGACTCCTACGGGGATGCCCCTGTCCTTGTCCTGTCCTGCAGGAGCTGTCCAAGCACCCTCTTGTGTTTCCAGAACTTTAAGAGTCTGTTGACTCCAATGAGCACCTCCCTGGCACAGATTTCTCATCAGAATTTTCCACCTGATGGGGTAGAAAGGACACCAACCATGGCGTTGGACCACTTGAGGTCAAATCCCACTTGTACCATGGTCGTTCAGTGCAGATTAGCCTTGGTCTGTGTGTTGTGGGGCAAACTCGGACTGGGAGCCACACATCTGGATTTTAATCCTGGCTTTGCCATTTATTCACAAGTGAGTGCAACCTTGGGCAAATTTCACAACTGCCCTAGTGCTGTTTGCTCATTTATAAAATGGGAATAGTTCACAATAACCAAGTTATGGAAACAGCCAAGATGCCCCACCACTGAGGAATGGATTAAGAAAATGTGGTATCTACACACAATGGAATTCTATGCAGCCATGAAGAAGAACAAAATGTTATCATTTGCTGGTAAATGGATGGAATTGGAGAACATCATTCTGAGTGAGGTTAGCCTGGCCCAAAAGACCAAAAATCGTATGTTCTCCCTCATATGTGGACATTAGATCAAGGGTAAACACAACAAGGGGATTGGACTATGAGCACACGAGGGAGGGGTGAGGATAGGTAAGACACCTAAAAAAAACTAGCTAGCATTTGTTGCCCTCAATGCAGAGAAACTAAAGCAGATACCTTAAAAGCAACTGAGGCCAATAGGAAAAGGGGAACAGGTACTAGAGAAAAGGTTAGTTCAAGAAGAATTAACCTAGAAGGTAACACCCACGCACAGGAAATCAATGTGAGTCAATGCCCTGTATAGCTATCCTTATCTCAACCAGCAAAACCCCTTGTTCCTTCCTATTATT